ACCGAATAATGATATCTTATTTGGTTTGCTTTTAGTTAAATTTTTATTATTTTGATTAAACCTAAAAAAGCTGAATAAGCTAATTAATTTATATATATTTATAGTTCATATCTATACATTAGTATTTTATATTTAAATTGATGGATTAGTTAATAAAAAAAGATTTTTATTACTCATTATTTAATAATTAACCATTATAAGTTTATAATTGTTTATATATTGTATTAAAAACAACAACTAATTAGCCAAATGTTAATTAACCGTCGGTCATTTTTTTTCCTCTTCATATACGAGTAAAACTATATCAATTCCTCTCTACAACTTGTATGATTACATTAACACTTCAAGACAACATATTGTCAAAGACAAAGTATAACATGTGATGTATTAATTTATTTTTTCATTTGGTAAAGGTTTTTTTTTTAGTTTAATATTAATTTTTGAATGTGGAATTTTATTTGGTTTAACCCATAAACCGAACTGAAAAATCAATAACCGAATTAATAAAAATTGATCCTTTTTCGGTTTGATTATGGCTAGTTTTAAGATTTAAAGAAAAATAAAACAACCAAACCGATTAAACTCATTGAATACACATCTACCCACAAGCCACAATATCTATCAATAGGTGTGATGATTGAATATATATAATAAAAGTAAATTAAAATTGTATAGAATCGTCTATATTATAGGTCAAAAATATTGTCATCTATTATTTTATTGTTATTGATTTCTAATTAAATTGTTTTTCAAGGGTTAAATTTTTTTAATTTAACTACTTTATCGTTATCTGTCTGAATGTTATATAAAACCCTTCGTTTAAATAATCGTTTTTTTAACACATCATATTTTAATATAAATATTCACTCAAACGATTTGTTTATTATATATTTGTTTATCTATAAACTTTAGACAAATAATAAATATACTTAAAAGTAAATCAAATTAAACTATGCTGTCCATTAATAAAAATGAACCAAAAAAAACCATGTTCTCCAATATGTTAACCAAATAATGATAAAACTATAAGAAAATCATCCATTAAATAGTTATTAGTAGTTTAAAATAACTTTAATATAATAAATAATAACCAATTCTCTAAATAATGTAAAACGTGACTTAACAGCAATGTCAAACATCAAGTTTTTTTGAACCGAAGTGATCAATGTAATTTGTAAAGCCTGAATTACGGTAGCAATTTTGTATATATTAATAATTTGATATATTTTTTCTATTATTATTTAATTTATATACATGTATTTCGTCAAGGCTTGATGCCATCAAGTAGAAGGCTTAGAACCTAACATACCATCGATTATTATAACGTTACGTATATGGCTGACCACCAATTGATAATAACCGTTATATATAGCCGACCACTATTCTCAATCAATTATGTTTTTATAGTCTACTGGAACAAGATTTACTAACCATTGATATATAGCTCATGTTTCTTAGTGGAGTCAGAGATTCTGAAAAAATATCTTATAAGTTACAAATATAAAAGTTTCGTGAACAGGAAAATTCTCAATCTCAACCATTTATAAATAAAATCGCAGCCCTATATAAAGAGAATGTTACTCGTATTTCCTTCTGTCCTCACTTTTTTCTCCACTCATATATATTACATGAGTTTTACCACCATTTAGAACTACTTTTTTAGGGCTCCAACTTCTCCATAAAAGTTTAATAATTTAATTATATTATTTCTTTGTGATTAATGTAGGTATTATATTTTGATTTTGTTATAATTTTAAACTTACTTGATATAAATTCGAATTAATAAATTTATTTGATATAATTTTAAATATATATTATTGAGATATATATTAGACATGACCTATTCCCGGTCTTAAAATTCGTTTAGTTTTATAACATCAAACGTTTTCCATATTTTATACTTTAGATATGAAACTTTACTTCAAATTCACATGAATTTAATTTAATATATAATTGAGACCGTTTTATTTTTATCTAAACAATGAAATGAATTTGTTTCAGTCCAATATATATTAAACATAACTTATTTTCGGTTTCAAATCTGTTTATCGTGATAGCCTTATATGTTTTTCGGACTTTATGTAGTTGAAATATGACGTTCCACAAACGTTCAATATTACATTAATTTAATAATTTGAAAATCATATTCTATCAAACCTAATACCTAAAATATAGTCGGAGTTCAAACTAAAATGATGCTTTAATCTTTGTTCTCAATAACTAAGTTCAACAACAAGTATTTGTATTTTACTTCAATAAAAAATATCACGAACATAATAAATTTAGCAAATATCTTATGTGCTTTAACAAAATAGATTTCTTTTTTCAAATTGGTTTTGCCAATTTATTTTACAGCAAGCATGGTTATAAAACCGTTTAAAGATTTACTTTTTATATATTCGTTTTTAAAATCTAGAATATGATATATATATATATATATATATATATATATATATATATATATATATATATATATATATATATATATATATATATATATATATATATATATATATATATATATATATATATATATATATATATAAACACACACTACTAGAAACTAGGTCAATACCTACGACACAATCCGTAGGTATAAAGCGATACCTACAGAATTGCTACGAAAAAAAGTTTGTAGCATAAACGCTTTTGGTTAATTTATACATATTGGTTTACTACGGACTAGTTACAGAATAATTATGGATTTTTCCATAGGTATAATATTTACGGATAAGCTACGGAAAAGAATTCATACGAAATGCCTACCGATTGCTGACGGGTGTGAAGTTTAACTAAAATTGATTATTCCTATGGATTGCCGACGGGTGTGAAGTTTGACTAAAATTGACTTTTTTCCCATGGAATAGCTTTAGAAATACATGGCTACGGATTTCCTACGAATTAACAACGGAATTCAAGTTTGACTAAAATTAACTTTCTTCCTACGGAATACCTACGGACCTATTTAGCGATGGATTTTCGTAGCTAGTCTAGACATATTTATCATCCTTATAACCATTTCCATTTGTTCTTTCATTTTGTTGTCGTTGTTGTTCCATGATAGAAGCTTTCGCACCCAACCTATGAACCAAAATAAATGGTAACTCAATTCAATACTTAAACAATATTAGCAATGTACTCTAGTTTATTATAACAATGAATTTTAGTTTACAATTATAGCAATACACTTAACTTTTAAACCATAATAGCGACATATATTTATTTATTATCAATTTAATCTATATTATCAACAAACTACATAACTTTTAACCATTATGGCAACATACTTTTGTTTATTTTCAATTTAATCAATATTATCAACAAACTATCTAACTTTTGACCACAATAAATATGTAGTTTTGTTTATTATCAATTTAATCAATATTATCAATAAACTACCTAACTTTTAACCATAATAGCAACATACTTTTGTTTATTATCAATTTAATCAATATTATCAACAAACTACCTAACTTTTAACCATAATAGCAATGTACTTTTATTCATTATCAATTTAATCAATATTATCAACAAGCTACCTAACTGTTAACCATAATAGCAATGTACTTTGTTTATTATCAATTTAATCAATATTATCAACAAATTACCTAACTTTTAACCATAATAACATTGTACTTTTGTTTATTCTCAATTTAATGAATATTATCAACAAACTACCTAACTTTTAACCATAATAGCAACATACTTTTATTTATCATCAATTTAATCAATATTATCAACAAACTAGCTAACTTTAACCATAATAGCAACATGTTTTTGTTTATTATCAATTTAATCAATATTATCAACATACTACCAAACTTTTAACAATTATGGAAACATATTTTTTTATTATTAAACTAATTAATATTATTAACATACCTCTTATTGTGTATTGTCCGACTGGGTGGATTGGGATGATGGTGTCCTAGAAACCAAAATATGTTTATCTGATGTTCCTATCCTATAGATAGCACCCATTTTCTTTCCTTTTCTTCTAAGTCGACTTTCCTCGCATACATCAACTTCATCCTTATGGTTTGTAGGATCTTCACCATATTTGTTGACCAACCCCTGCAAATATGCCTCTTACAAATTACCAAAACAACAACATTGTCATATACAAAAAAATATGTCACAATCAATATACATAAATGATAAAGATAAGCTACATGTGCTTCTTTGGTCGTTTGTGAGAAATATTCAAGACTTTCAGGATTTCCCTTAAAATATTTTTTCTTCAACTCAATAGTGTCATGCGTCTTCATGAAAACATCATAATGTTTGGCTGGTTTACCCATCAACTTTTCCTAATTAAAAGACAAAGTACAATTAATGTAGTTAGTGTTATAACAAAATAAGAATAATAAAATTTATAATTATGATACTTACTAAGTTCCTACGGTGTTGGTCAAATCCTATACTACCCATAACGTGCCTTGTTGTTGACCCATTAGAATCTGTGGTGTTGCAGTTCTGCTGAGCGATTTTTGAATTCTTTTACCACTTATTTGTGAACCAATGTTTATATATATATATATATATATATATATATATATATATATATATATATATATATATATATATATATATATATATATATATAAAGTAGGAACACAAAACTCAACCAAAAAATTAATAATGTATTGTATCCATTACATCACACAAACGTTGCCACACAGTCTCCGGTATGCGTCTGAGACGGTAGTTATGCATCCCGTCATTTGGGGGGAGGGATTTCCCATCTTTTCATACCATGTTGGCAGATTGTCTCCGGATACCTTTCATCATGTCTCTGTATCTATCCTGGAGGACACACTTGAATGAATCAAATATGTTCTTATTCTCTTATGAATGCCACCTATACTTGGTTGGTAACAAATAAAAAGTAAATTTAAAAAGTATAAACTAAAAACAAATGAGTATAAAATACAAGAATGCATATTTAATATATTACCCGAAAACGTGAAAACATATGTGTAAGAGTCTCATGGGGAATATCACTGAACTGGGACTACCGGTGATCCAAATTCTCCTAATAGAGACGAATACATGTGTGGTGGAGTTTTTTTATCCGCAAACCTATATTATTTAAAAAACTATATAAGTATAATTATAACATAAAAAATAAAATTTTAAATGATGAAAAAACTAACTTTTCCTCATCTCGTCTGATGAGGGGCAATGAAAAGGCGTTGAAAGGTTGACTCTGCATCTGCACCCTCAAAGCAATAGTCCTCAAATCCATAATTACCACCTGTCCTCAAAAACATTTGTAGGGGTTGAGTTCTATAATCTATCTGTAGGAGATTGGGCCTACAATCTATTTGTGGATGTTGGGGCACCCCACCTCTCAATCTCGACGGCGAAGAATCTCAGCCAAGTCTACTAGAGGATCACCCATGCCAGTTTGTTGACTAATAGCACCTTGATTGTTGGAGCCTACGACTCCTATCACTATCGGCATATCAATCGGTATGAGTGGCGTCCTATAACATGGCTCGTTGGTAGAATTAGGGGATATCCCCCTTATACCCCACATTGCCAGAAAAGAGTTGTTACTATGGCCTCTATCCTTACATCCATTACCCGACATGCTGCATTTAATAGAACAAAAATGGCCAGATATATAATATAAGAATGATATTCATGACAAAACAAATGTTTAAGAGAACAGGATATCCAAACTAAAATCATTACAAGAACAACATTTAATTTGAAGGTTTAAAAAAAGACAATGCTATTAACATCAACAAATACAATGGTCGTATCATCAACAAAAGACAATTCTCCAAACATCTATCCTTATCATCTTCTTCTTCAAATTCTTCTTCTGAATAATCCAACTTGTTTTATATATGTATGTGTGTATTTGAATGTGTGTGTATATATGTGTGTATATGTATGTGCATCTATGTGAATATGTGTGTAAGTATATATATATATATATATATATATATATATATATATATATATATATATATTTATGTGTGTGTATGTGTGTATATATATATGTGTATCAAAAACCACAAGTATTAATACACATTATAATTTTAAACAATGAAATGAGAATGAATCTCGAACGTGCATATGACTTTATGAACAATATTAATAGATATAAGTTAGTGAGAGTATAGGTAATCATGTATAATAGAGGTGTAAAAAACGAAGCGGAAAAAATAACTTTCGATACTTGAAAAATCCGTAGTTAATCAGTAGGAAATTAACTACGGATTAGTGACGAAATTATGATAGAAAGCATATTCCATAGGTAATCCGTATGTAATTTCTAATACCCCAAATTTTTCAAAACTTTTTCAATTGCTATGGTTATAAAAATATTTAGGTATTAACTCCTATTTAACATAAAATTGGTCCCACAAAAACAATTACAGTTAAAACATTAGGGGTTACCATTATGCATCATACAACAATAGCCAACAAATATAAATTACATCAATAACATTAAATAAGGAACTTAATAAGTTCCACTCCATTCTCTATCTCTTAATCTTCTAACTTCCATCTATCAATTTTATCCTTAATTTAAACATGGAATACATGGAATTAAAAAGAGATACGTAAGACAAAAATGTATCGTGAGCTACGTGGGTTTGTGACCCAAAACATTTATCGCTTATTTCAACAAAAACATTTCATCTTTGCAAAACATAGTTTTAGACCATAAATCAATTTCAAGCATTTTCAAGGAAAACTCGATTCATACGCATCATAAATATCATTTCATTTCATTTCATATCTTATCCTTTCATTTCAAAAGACATATTTCCATATTCCATTTTATTTTATCATTAAGGACTAATTCTAGTATTAAACCGTTGCTATTTTTATACTTAGGGTCTACGTCTAATAAAGGAACCACTCCTAATTCTAGACCAAGGTGGAAAGAACAAATCAATCCACCAAGGCATCATTTCCATTAGGACATCTATCTCGAGAAGGGGAGGCGCCACCCCGATAAATTCCTCTAGTGCCTCTTACGAGGTATCATGGCACGGGCAATTTTCTTTTCATTTCTTTCTGATTCTTATCATTACTGTAACACCCCAGATTTCAAGTAACTTCAAATTCATCCCTTGGGTTTAAATTATATCTTTTTTAAGTCCTTGGTTTGGAAAGAAGTGGCCACGGGAAGCCCTAGTGGCAAGAGGGTAATTTTGGTGCATGATTAGTACACAATGCGTACATGTGAGTATACTAGGAGAACACATATGTACGATGGGCGTATGTGTGTCTAGGTGAAAACCCTACCTTTTAGTGTTTGTGGGGTATTTAAGCACCATGATGGGTCGTTTGGACTCACTATTTTAGCCTCTCATTCCTTTAGCCATTTTGAGAGAATCCTAACCCCCATAGTGAGCATCTTGAGCTTATAATATGATTTTTGTGTGCCAAAAGGAGAAGTTAGTGCATCAAAGGAGTCAAGGAAGGAAGCAAGATTGTAGAGTCCTCTGTTTTGATATTTTGCAGACGATTATTATACTTGTCGTCCAGCAACTATTTTCTCGATCTCATATTTATTCGACATAGAACTTAATTGAACACATCAATTCAGTCCTGACCGGGCCCGACACATAAGTCAAATCAAATCATCGAGCGGCCGTGATATCGCTTTTACCCTCTTAGGATTAAAGTAACAGATAAACTTCGACTTATATGCATTTACTTATCGACTAACCGACTATACACAACAATGCGTTTTATGACATCAATTTACTGATGCGGTTTCGAATTATCAATGTACAACCGATTAGTAAATAATAAACCATATATCTAAGTTTTAAGAGCATATGATATTATCGTCTTGCGATCACCCTAAAGTGATTCCAGCAAGCGCAGGTTTATTCCAATGCTCAAACCTTGTTCATAAGCACTCATGAACGTTGTAGCAAACCTTTGCTATGTCTAATACCATTTAGACAATCTGAACACCAATTCACGACAATCTTCATTCATACTTACTTCCAACATATGAAAGATTGTGGAAAGTTTGAATAATTCGATTATTCTTAATAAACTCAATTATTCTGGAAGTCAAAACATGCAAAGTGAAACAATAGCTAAACAATCAACATAAGATAATAACTTTACTTATAAACAATACTCCTTTATTTAATCATCAAATCTCAATTACATTTACCTATTACACGTTTCTAAAACTATCTAATCTAAACTAATATCATCCTTCAGCCCAATACTCCTAGCATGCTGCAAGTGCTTAACCTTGCTCAGTCCCTTCATAAGCGGATCTACTGGGTTATCTTCTAATGATATCCTCTTAACTACGAGGTGTCCTTCTTCTACTTGATGCCTAATAAAGTGATATTTGATGTCGATATGTCGAGATCTACCATGATCCCTCGGTTCCTTGGTCAAGGCAACCGCTCCTTCAATATCACAGAAAATTTCCATGGGCTCCTTTATAGCAGGCACAACTCCAAGATCGCCAATGAAGTTCTTCAGCCATATTGCCTCTTTTGACGCTTCACTCGCTGCAATGTACTCTGATTCGCACGTTGAATCAGCTACAGTTTCATGTTTGGAACTTTTCCAAGTTACCGCTCCTCCATTAAGGGTAAAGACCCATCCTGACTGTGAACGGTAGTTGTCCCTGTCGGTTTGGAAACTGACATCACTATACCCTCGCACCTTCAAGTCATCACTCCCTCCGAGGACTAGAAACCACTCCTTGGTCCTCCAAAGGTACTTAAGGATGTTCTTGACCGCAATCCAATGCGCTCTACCAGGATTCCCTTGATATCTACTGACCATGCTCAAGGCAAAGGCCACATCAGGATAAGTACAAGTCATAGCATACATGATTGAGCCAACTACGGAAGCGTAAGGTACTCGGCTCATCTCGGCTTCGGTACTCGGACTTTGAGTCTTACTCAACTTTGTATTAATTTGTATCGGTAGCTCTCCCTTCTTTGAGTTTTCCATACTAAAACGTCTTAGTACCTTATCTAGGTAAGTATTCTGACTAAGTCCTATTAGTCTCTTACTTCTTTCTCTCACTATCCTTATTCCCAATATATAGGAAGCCTCTCCGAGGTCCTTCATAGCGAAGTACTTCCCGAGTCAGGACTTTACCTCCTGCAGAGTCGGAATGTCGTTTGCTATGAGCTGTATGTCATCGACATACAAAACGAGAAAGCTAACTATGCTCCCACTGGCTTTGACATATACACATGATTCATCTTCGCTTCGTACAAATCCAAACTCTTTGACTTTCTCATCAAAGCAAAGATTCCATCTACGAGATGCTTGCTTAAGTCCATAAATGGACTTCTCAAGCTTGCACACTCTATTGGGATGCTTCAGATCGACAAAACCCTCTGGCTGAGCCATGTAAACAACCTCAGCCAACTTCCCATTAAGGAAAGCAGTTTTGACATCCATTTGCCATATCTCATAATCATGAAATGCGGCAATGGCTAGCATCACCTTAATAGATTTTATCTTCGTAACTGGTGAGAAGGTCTCATCGTAGTCAACTCCAGGAGTTTGAGTAAAGCCCTTAGCAACCAATCGCGCCTTGTACGTGTGCACATTCCCATCCATGTCAGTCTTCTTCTTGAAGATCCAATTTCACCCAACCGTCTTATGTCCGGGCACATTGTCAACCAAATTTCAAACTTGGTTGTCATACATGGACTGAATCTCGCTATCCATTGCCTCTTTCCATTTAGCAGATTTCGGGCCTGCCATGGCTTCCTTATAGCTGTTAGGTTCATCTAGATTTATTAGTGTATTATCACTAATATACGTGTCCCAATCGGTAGTAATATGAAAACCATACAACTGGGGTTGAACTCTAACTCTTTCGGAACGTCTAAGAGGTAAGGATTGGTCAATCAGTTCAACCGGAGTTTCCTCCTCAGGTTGAGCGCCAGCGGTAGACGTTCCTTCATCACTCGATTCTTGAATCTCTTCAAGATCGATCTGCCTCCACTGTCTCCTTGGATTATGAGTTCTCGTTCTCGGAAAACCCCTCTCCTTGCTACGAAGACTACATTATCACTCGATCTATAGAAAAGATATCTAAAGGATTTCTATGGGTAGCCGATGAAAATACATCGCTCACTACGAGGTTCGAGCTGGTCGTGAGTATCTCGTCTTATGAAAGCCTCGCAACCCCAAACCTTGATATGTACCAACGAGGGAGCCTTCCATGTCCACATCTCGTGAGGTGTTTTGGAAACCTTATTAGTAGGGACTCGGTTAAGGATATGGGCGGTAGTCTCTAAGGTATACCCCTAAAATGAGATAGGTAGTAAAGCACGACTCATCATAGAACAAACCATGTCTAACAAGGTTCGATTGCGCCTTTCTGCCACACCATTCAACTGCGGTGTCCTAGGTGGCGTCAATTGTGAAACTATTCCACATTCCTTGGGATAGCCGTGGAATTCAAGACTTAGGTACTCTCCTCCTTGATCGGATCAAATCATCTTGATTTTCCTGCCCAATTGATTCTCCACTTCATGTTTGAATTCTCTGAACTTTTCAAATGTTTCTGACTTGTGCTTGATCAAATAGATATACCCATATCTACTATAATCATAGGTAAAA